GGTGGGCCAAGGGGGGTTTCCGGTTAGCGGTTTTTTTTTTTTTTTTTTCCTGGGGGGGGGAGGGTGGGGGGGGGAGGATGCTGTTGCCATAGCAACGGGGCAGGAGGGTGAGGAGCGGGGCTGTTGCCGTAGCAACGGAGAGGAGCGAGTTGCCGTGGCAACCGCAGCAGCAGCCTCCACGAAGGATCGTCCTCCCCCATCGCCACGGCAACACGGGGGGGGGGAGATGAGATGGGGAGCGGGCGACTGTCTCCGTGGCAACAGAGGGGAGGGAAGGCAGGGAGACGGTTGCCATGGCGACGGCGGGAGGAGGGTATCTCCCTGGCAACACACATCCTTTGCCATAGCAACAGGGAGCAGGAGGCTGCGGGCCGGGGAGGGGTACACTACTCGGAAGGGAAAGGATTATCACCGCCTCGGGAAACTGTCCTAAAAATTTGCCAGCCCAGGCGTGAAGGCGGCACCGTGCCCGTGACATCCCCCGGGTCCGGCTGTGGCTGCCCCACGTGAAACCAGCGCTGGCGGGAAAGCAGAAATGGGTTGGGTTTTTTTTGGGGGGGGGGGGGGGAGCAGAGGCAAGGGGGTGAGCAGGGCAATGGGGGTTAAAAAAAATAACTCTGTCAGGCTTGGGGATGCTGAATTGTGATGGTTACAGCTGACATTTGCAAATTGCGGCGCTGAACAAGTGGGGAGGAAAAGCCCTGTGTGTTTATCGTGTTCACTTAATAGCACTGTCAGTCTGCTTTTCTGGTCCTTACCGTGGCAATACGAGAGGAGGCATCTGCTTTAGTAACCAGGGAAGTTTCAGGTGGATATGTATGTATGCATGCCACCTTTAAGCAGGAGAACTCAAAGGTATGTGCAAAACTGCAACTGTTCTTGGTTTAATTTGAGACCAACTACATTTTCCACTGGTGATGGTCTCAGTTCAGACCACAGGATCTGCACATCATTTCCAAGAAAGAAAAATAATGTTTTAAAATACTATGTGCCTTCAGCATGAAAAGAAAAAGCACACCTTACTAAAAACCTTACTGGGAGGGTCACCTTGAGCTGAAAAAAGACACCAGTCTGCAAGTGTCGGTGTACACACAACAAAAATAAACATTTGAGGGACTGGTACATCTGGGCTTTGTTTCCTGCGCATGGGCGAGGTGTCAGATTTAGGTCACCCTGCTCCGTGTTTAAGCTGTGGTTCCTGTGAGCACCTTTTAATACAGCTCTAAAACGCTTTGACACGCCGTGATGCAACATGCAGAAAGTGTGAAATGTTGCCGGAACCGAAGGGAACAGGTATTGTAAGAGCTTCCGTGCAGAATCATTGCTTTTTAAGGCTGGCTTCCCGTGGGTGATTGAGTCTCCTGCAGCAGCAGCAGCAGCTCTCTTCTGACCTCTCAGCAGTAACAGGATCCCGTGTCCCTCCTGCATTTAGAGTAAGACTTTCGCTGCCAGTATGAAGGAAACCCAAAAGCATCAGGTTCAGGGACAGCAGGGAGAATACACATATATATAATTTCATCCATTCAGCAGATCTGGGTATATGAAGTTCTCCGATGCACCTTGAAGCGAGCGGATTGCATTCCCCCCCTCCCTATAGGGTTACCACCAACCACGGCCCCGGCCCCTGACCCGTGGGGCAGCGATCGCCCCACACTGACTGCCCCAAGCCCCATTAGGGGGGTTTATAATTACACTAAAGCTTTCTCCAAGCCCAGTGTGGGCTTTCTGCCCCTCCTTGCCAATAAAGCCACTTAAAAGGAGGAAAAATAATCCAGGTGATTTGTTTCCCTGGCCCCACCACTGTGACCACTTCTGTTTCAAGCACTGGGAGAAAGTCAGGACAAAGAGCTCAGTCTTGCTGGCAGCGAGGCAGCCAAGCCCCGGTGCAAAATATATTAATTTCTGTTTGTGTCCAGGACACCCCAAAACACAGCAGCCAGGCCAGCCCCCCCAGGAGCATCATGGTGTGATGCATGGAAACCCACAGCCGTCTGCATGGAAAAAGCCAACCCAAGCTGTTGCAAACTTATTTATTTATGAAGTGTGAGGTAATGAAGAAAGTGCTAAATCCGACCACAGTGTTAACTCTAACGGTTCTCAGCAGGTCAGCAGGGAGCCAAGGGTGCTGTCCTGCAGGGCCACCCCTGCCAGCACCCCGGGGAGGGGACAGGGAACTGTGCCACCCACATACCCCACTGCAGGCTGGGCAGCAGGACAGCACAAGCAGGGGAAAGCTTCGAAGGCAGCACAGCCCCCCCCCCCCATGCACCCAACTTGCCCCTTCCAGCCAGGCTCCCTGCAAAGTCCAAAGCTTCACTGGGGATTTTAAGTGGCTGCTGGTGAGGGGGCACTCACAAAGGTGGGAAAGGGGGTCACAAGTGTGGGAAAGGGGAAAAATCCCCTGTTATTGCAAATGGGTGGTTTGGAGAGCTGCAAGGGGGGAACCGGCCTCTGCGAGGACTCAGCCAGCCCCTTCCTGATCTCCCTAAAGTGCAGCAGGACTGAGCCCTCCCCCGCAGCAGGAACCCCCCTCCAAAAAAAAAAAGTTTTTACATATATATAAAAAAAGCAAACTCTTTACCAATACTTCTCAAAAAGTGGTACAAAAATACAGTATAAAAACACAGCCTCCAGTATAAGACTCGCAGTTACAGCAGCAGTTTCTAGAACATAAAATCCAAGACAAGCTACTGCATGAAGTGGTAAGAAAGTGAGGTACGGTCCAGCCGAGCAAGGGGATTGCCCACAGGGTGCTGTTAACCCTGGTGAGAGAGACACCCTGCCGTCGCCATCTCCATGGGGATCCGTCCAGAGACGAGCCCTGTGCTGGGCTCTCTGTGTCTGCCTCTACCTGCTTCCCTGAGCCGAAGCAGACCATGGTTGCTTGGGATTTTTAGGGTGAGATGGGTGCCCAGGGGCAGCTCCCAGTGATGCTGTCAGTAGCAGATGGCAGAGAGGGGTGCAGGGGCTGCCAGGGAAGGGGGAATAGAGTTGAGCCTGCAAATTGAAGCAGTCACTTCAGAAAGCTTCACAAGGGGGACAGGGGAAATCTTGCAACACCCGGTGCCAAGAAGCCAGCCCCAAGCAGGTGCCATGGGGGGGGGCCCGCTGTGGCC